TTTGTTGAACCTTCGTACAATAAAAGATTCAGTTATATTTAGATTTTTTACTATTGAAATGTTTTAAAGTAATTTGACACCAATATTTTACATATATTACAGTTCAGTGAGAAGTAAGTGTTTCAATTGGATTTCTATTTCGGATCAATTTCATTCAAGGAATAGTAATGCAAGAATTTCATGAGAACTGCACAAGGATTAATGTGTCTGTGTATTGTTTATCATCAATGAAGACTTTAGAAAAGTTTAATCACTAGGAAAAACGGCAAGACTTTTCATTAAATCCAATTAATAGTTACTGTAGCAGTATGAAGTTACTATTAAACGTAATACACAAGATAAGAAGAAGATTTATTTAAACTTTTGCATAGAATATTGTCACGTTTATGAGAATAATTCTACTCCACGATCTCTTTTATCGTCAGAATTATTTGTTGATTCCGGGGCATGCTACAATTTCCCAGTCAATATATTTATGGAATCTTGGAAGTCCTGAATTCTATGAATTTTTCTGCAGCTTTTATATTGTATATCGTGACGGAGGAAATACCGACGAAGATATACATCTGGAGGCTATGAGAGACATTTATACTTGCAATATCGTGTAAAATGTTTAAATTCATTACCTTTAAAAGTAAAATTCGTCTATAATAAATTGTTGAATATATAAAATATTATACCCGCATTATTATAGACTTGATCGAATGATACTAAATTAAATCAGTGTATTCTATTGTAGGGAAGCAACAAATTTAACACACATTCTTTCAGATCAAGATTTATATTTATTTACTTATTTTAACATTTAGTATTGAATTTATTAGACATGTTAAATTTCACGAATAGAAGTCGTGTTAATTTTCACCATTTTCTTTTTAAAATTTCTTCGTTGCTTAGATTATTATAATTTATAATACTGTACCATATCTTTTGCATTACTATTAACGAACAGGTTTCACTTATTTGTTTGTTCACCCGTGAGGGAAGTTACGTATGGTTTAACCCAATATTAATTTCTCACCTCTGACGATATTTACGAGACTTAACAGTCAGTGTATACAACTGAATGGTTTATTAAAGAATGACAAATATTAGACCATCCCATAATTGAAGTGGTTATTGTGATACGTATGTTAATAATAAGAAACAACTTTTAGCCAGTAATTCATGATCAATGTATTTTCAATTTTTGCGATGACTCTTCGATAGTTATCGACTTTCGCTCAGTAATAACCTGTGAAATGTCTACATGTTAATTATACAGGGCTTCTCGACACGAGAGCCCTCGTCAGAACCTGCTCGAAATTTCTTGAACCTTCCTCAGCACTGATTTACTCTAACACCTCACCATACATCTGGAATATGTTTTTCGCTGCTGGCAGTCGTGTTAATTCCTTTGTCACACTCATATAGCGTGACATATCAACTATGTCCCTTCGTCACGTCCATTTTAAACGTTCGTAATAACCTGACCATTTGGCCTATCCCCGTGATTTTTTCACGCAATATCGTCTGAAGGTATCTGTTTCATATGTACCACAATAGAATTCAATTTATCTGAACTCATTGGGAGACAAAACAGATTCACTGACTCAGTATCTATGACTTTTCGTTCGAATAACCGAAGCTCACGTTCAGATAAGTGGATTCAATCATACATTTTCTCGTTCTTCACCTCACAATAATGTTTCAAATCATATAATTGTGGAAGTAAATTTGCGACAAAAAATAATTTCACAACTTTTAGTGAATCTAAGCTTACAAAGCATCATGTGTTTTGTAAATGCATTGATCTACTCTTTGCATTCTAGCTGTTGCAGATGTTCACATAAATGGAGTGACGTTTGGCAGTAGTTCTGACAATATGTATGAGCTCAGCAGGAGTTCAGTAAATCGGGGGAACAATAACTAAAATTCCGTGCCAATCAATGCAGTTCTACTGTAACTTAGACATCGAGCAAATAAATGACGAACACGTTGAATTATATTATCCGAAATTCAAGTCTAGAAACGCGGACTCCACCAATGAAGTGAGCTAATATTAATTCTATAATTAATTATCCCTTGCCATACGATTTCTTTTGCGGCTTCACTTTGAAATATTTCTTTATCGTTAATACTTTCTTAGATACAAGGGAATTCTATTCTTATGGTAAATGTTACATTTATTCGAAACCTTGAATGTTAATACCAGCGGAACAGCATTTCATGCCGACCCAAAGGAAACGAATAATATACATGTTTACTAAATTCAATGTGAAATCGTTATCATATGTCTGACTCGATGTTGTAAGGCAAGGGGTTAAGAACACGAAACTTACAGGAAAGCAGTAGCGTCGGAACAGGCAGCCTCTTCCATTCCAGCTTGCACACGGGTGTAAACGCTTGCGTCACTTTCGAAACTTAATAATGCACCGTGGCAAGCAATTTAATGACACCCGATCGTGGATTATTCCCGCGATGACCTAACAATGAGTTATCGGTCTCTCGAAACGTTAACGGAGTAAAAGTTTCGCGTCGGCCGAGAGGGTGGTGCGTGTGTGGTTTATGGATCGTGCGACCGCAACCAATTCTTAAGGTGTTGTGTGCTTCTTGTTGGACCCTTTTCCTTCTTACATTATTCTTTTTCTCCTCACTTTTACGAAGCGTGCGCGACGTGTTGTACGCGTTGTTTCTGCATACGTGGTCGTCATAAAGTTCAGGGAACCCTATTCGCTTGCGAACACCAAGCGGGACGTAATGCACGGCTAACAGTCGCGTGAAAAATACAGGGGGGATTGTGTTACTATTGCAACCCGTTTTTTATTTGTTGGATAAGGAAAGTGGTCTTGAGATATTTGAATTTCAGGGAATAATAGTTTATCAAAATCATTATTGGAAAATAAAAAGGAAAGTTGGAAGTAATGTTAAAGTTTATGGAAAGACGTATATGACACTTACGAAACAAGAATTACGATTGGACCACGGATATTTATGCAAATACAGACATAACATTGCGTGGCATAACTATAAAACCACCCTATAATTTTCAATTCTTTTGTACTGTGAATAAAATAAAAACGAACCGAGTATGCCGTGTTTGAAATCGTGTTCAGAAATAATGTTTCTCTACAAAAGGATAGATTATATTCCCTAGAAAAAAGTGGCTCGTTTTTATTTCAACCACAGTACATAAGGATTGAAAATTTTAGGGTGGTTTTATAGTTATGACACACAGTGTATATTGTCTAATTTGGAATAGGTGAAATGAAACAGGAATTTAAGTATTGCATTAAGAGTTCTATATAAAATCTCATAAAACTGTATCAAACTTGTATACATACACTGCATTTGAAACGATTCTAAATGCTATAAATGCATAAAATTCGCGGACTGGTTGTGACAATAAAGGTGTTGACTGTAATTAATTTGTTTGCTAAATATTATTTACTATTAGATCGTGGATATTTATGTACATTATAAATTTTCATAAATCAAGTTACAGGAACTGGAACGACATAATAAAAAGTTATTTATATCTTCCTCAGGATTCCTAGGTTCTCACTGCTGTCCAAGTTGAACTAATGTCATTGGATTTTATTGAACTTCGTATTATGTTAAATATTCAGACAATTATGCATGTTATAAATATACGAGTATAGTATATGTATACTAGAGGTGGTGTACATATTACTCGACTGTTGATATTATGTATTAATAACATATATGTATAATTGAACGTCTGATAAAGTTTAGTCAAGTTTTTACATTACCAGGATTCAGACAGGACTCTAAATGGAATAATAAATGAGTTTCAGTTTCATTCCAGTTTTTGTAAATTAGTTCATAAAAAACTGTATGTTCACATAAATATCTCCGGTGTAGTCGTAAGTATTTATACATTCATAGTAAATGCAACTGGGTAAAGCGTAACTAAAATGCCAACTGGAAATAAATTTCTGTAATTCTAGTTGATTAAAATCTGGATTCGCATAAATATTCCCATTAATGCTATTTATTTTTTTTTGTGAATGTAAATGGTTATGAAGCATAAATGTAAACTCGAGTACCTAAACTTTCCACAGATTTTACTTTTCCGTCCGTCTAGTGAAATCACTAGTGAAAGAAATAAGTTTCTGTAAATATAGTGTATGAAAATTTGAATACGCGTAAACATACATATTATTACTTAATATTATCTTTTGTGAATCTAAGTGCTTATGGAGCACAAATGCAAAGTCGAGTACCTGAATGTTACCACGGATTATACTTTTCCGTTCGCCTAATGGAATCACCAGTGACAGAAACAAGTTTCTGTACAGATAGTTTATAAAAATCTGAATTCGCGTAAATATGCACAGTATTTTTATTATTTTCTTTCGCCAACGTATGTAGGTGCTTATGAAGCTTAACAACATCACCGCCTCATGTTTCAGTTTACTAACCCACGAGGCGGGAGATTATTTTTGAGTGCGAGAAGCGTTTGTAAGTCAATATACTTGACGCAATTTTAAGAGTTGTATTCTACCAACGACACACACACACACTGTTGTGTGGAAGTGTTAGAGCAGCAAGTAGATCGGGGAGGGAGAATGTTTAGTAGATTTGTATGTGCATCATCAGCTACTACCCAGCAGATATTATGTACCTATGTACGCGACGCAAAGGGTATACGAAAGTGAATCGAATCCGAGCGATTCATTGCATCGGAGTGTATGGATCCTTTTCATCGAATATTCCTTGTAAGTTAGTGGTTTTTTTTTTTGTAGAAAGCGGCGTTCACGCTTTATCGCGTGCCACTTTTTTTTCTGGTTGTGTCGAAAAACGGGCGTGCACGCTGCCAATTGTAAGTCATGAATAGGGATAAGACTTCCGTCATTGGTAGCCGGCTTTGAATATTTAAGTTTGGATAAAGAACAGGTATTTTTCTTTTTCGTGGGCTTTTGTTATTTTTATATTTATGTCGAGCACCGTACGAGCTACCGTCGCGAAAACTGAAATTGTATACCTAGTCGACTTACCGAATCCTTTGGTTTCGAGTTCGGTTCAAAGACAGTCTTCTGGAGCTCCCAATTCTGCCGACGCAGGTGCGAAATCTGTGAACGGTAAAAGATATTTACTTGCTAAAGATAACGTGAGAAGTTTTTTTAAATTTTTATTCGTTTCTACGTATTTTGACATCTGTTGAACATTAAGTTAACCATTGCAGTGAATAATGTTTGGTGAAAAGTTGCTAGGGGGTGCTTCATTTCCATCGATCAAGGGGACACTTTTTTATTGTCAATCCAAGTCCTAACTGAAAAGGAAGCTTTTCTGGAATTTATTTTAATTTTTCGTTTTTGGTCGTATTTGGTTCTTCAGGGTGAAACCACCCATTAAATGTTAATGTGATTTTTTCTATTTGCCTGTATATCTTGAAAACTACAGTAGATATGAAGAAAATGTTAGAAAGAACATTTAAACGGCTTTTTGTTTTCTATAAAACTGTGTAATGAAATTGTTAACAATTTGTTTATTTATTTATTTATTCATTTCAACGAGAAATATTTAATAGTGTCATCGCATACACTTATAGAGCATAAGAAGCCATTAAATTTTCATTGTAACAGTTTTTTGATATCTACTATAGTTTTCAAGATACATACATATACAGGAAAACAGGGAAAGATAAATTAACTTTTGAGGGGTGGTTTCACCATAAAGAAAAGAATAATAGCAAAAATGAAAACTGCCCGACGTTTTCATTTTTTTATTCTAAAAGAATCAGAATTTTCAGGGCAGGTACCTAAGTTCCCTTGTCAGTAAGGAAAAATTTTTTAATAGGGATGAAAGCTTCAAGGTCTCTCGAAACTTCTAAACGTTCCGTATCGCTTTCGATAGTTTGCAGTGTTGAAAAAAAGGTCTTGGAACTCGGCGATCTTGTTGAAAGAGGAACAAAAAAATCGGTATCATGTACTACAGGGAATGGAAAAAAAAACGGAAAAAGGACCGTTGACATGGGGAACGCGGTAATCACGCTACGGACTTAAATATTGGTAACCATAATCAGAAGGAAGTCCGGTGGTACGCTGTGAGCACAGGGACTGTACGATGCGCGTTTCTGTTTGCGTTCCTTATCTCAGGTTTGCGCTGCGATAACCGCCCTTCCCCTTCTCCAAACGTTATAGCACCTATGCCACACCAATCTAGCACCGTCGCTGGGAGCAACGGAGGCGCAGCGATTCGAATCGTTTTAAAATTTACTCTCGATAATTTCGAACTGAACTACGGTTTAATATTTCCATCGTTGCCCGGAGTTCTTCGAAGTCTGCACGCCTGTACCGCTATTGATCGAGGTAAAATTCTAAGTAGTTAGGAAGAGTTCGAATTTTAACTTTGGTCTGGATAGTCTGAGAATACAGAAATGTGAAAATGTGTCGAGATCGAGTAAAAGGTTAAAATGTGTGGAGAAAATTGCGGTTCATCGTAACAAATATGTCCGGGGATTAATTTTACGTTTCGATCCTTCATTTTTAATATTGAATTTAGTAAGTGAAATGTAAGTTGGTACAATCAATTACATAAATATCCGAATGGTGTACTGAATTATTGAAGTTTCACATCGAGTCATAGATATTTATAATTAATCAAAGATCATATTCAAAGATCAGTTATGGAGATTAATAGTTAATTGGAGTTAGTGTCTAATATCAAAATATTTCAGGTGTTACTACCGGAAGTTGTGATATTAAGTTGATAAAATGTAAGTATTTTAAGAGTTCTTCGGGTCATTAATTGCGTTGGATAATTATCTTCTTAATTACAGAGTTCACTGTATCCATAAATACAACGTCGTAAGTAATTGCAACAAATATTCGCACGGAATAAAGTGACATGTATTTATTCATTTCAGATTCTCACGGTTTATAACATTTTCAACGTAGTCAATAGTCTTGGAGGAAGCTTTTACAAAAATGTAACAGTAAATATTTTTAAACTTTATACAGATTTCGAAATTTGTACCACTAACGATTATGTCGCTAATAAAAATTATTCAAGTATCATTACTACAATATAAAGAATACACTAGATAAAACCCATGTGAATTTTATAATAAAATTGTATTGCTTCAAATAAATTCCAATTCCATTAAATAAACATAAAGAAAGGATTCGGAAGAAATGCAAAGCGATTGGTGTTCGCAATTGCATTCGATCAAAGACGTCTACTATACGTACGATTTATATTCAGGGAACGTGACGCGGATATCGAACGTTAATATCGGAAAACGGTATTACGATTGCAGCAGGTTGATAACAAGATTAACAGATGGTCCAGACTTCCGACTATTCCATTCGAGTGAAGCACAAGTACATATCGGTCTGTTGCAGTAATTGTATAATTTAATTGCAAAGTTGTAGATTTTTAAGCTGTTCAGAGTAATTAAATAACTGCCCAATTAAAAGTAATAACCAATATTTCAAAAATTTGTCAGGACCCGCAAAATCGAGTATCTATTTAATGAAAACTGCATGATATTAAACTTCTAATACTTATAATAAATTACAGCTATATAGATAGTGACTATTCATTAAAGAATCAATTTCAATTTTTTTTTTAAAAAGAAAACTGTAAATGTATATGCAGCTTGAGAATCAAGATGGTAATTCTGTTTCAAGGAAATCTTCTTTCCTTATTATGTTATCGTATGTATTATTAATATTTATATTGTTCCGCTTTACATACAGAGGCTTCAACGTCAAAAAAGTAAATGGTTATGATTCAGACATCTCTTTACCCTATCAGTGATATCTTCTTGTTAGTTTTGATTTATTGACCTTCCATTAATAGAAGATTGTACCATACTGAATTAATTTCGATATACATATTTTGTTCAAACTTAGAATTCGTGATACTATTTCGATGCAGTATTTCCATCAAATTATATATTCCTAGATCTTCACCAGTCACACCTCTCTGCGCTAAAAGTCAATGAGGATCCCGTGTATTAACATTGTAACGTTACATGCATTTCTAAAGGAGGCAGGGATGGGCACACGAGCATTGTTAACATAGACCAAAGGCCTTGATATTGTTATCTATCGGTTCCTAGAACAACAGAGGGCATGGGTCCTGTGGTTTACCACAAAAGCACGAACAAACGTGGTGTACGCTTTCGGTCTCTTATACTTCCACAAATTGTCCGCGATAACAAACCGGAACGACGTGACCGTGCAGACTTCAATGATCCCCCTTCCTATAGGTACCCCAACCCCACCAACCGGACTATTTTTGCACGGTGGAACGATTGCAAGTTCGAAGGTCGTTCCGACCAGTAATATTTTATGAAAGAAATACGACAATTGCGGGCAAAGTACGATATTTATAGAGTATTTCATAAATGGACCTTTAATGAGAACGAGGGCACAGTATGCTCGTTTGAAGAGTCGCGAAAAAGCAAACTGTACCATTTTTACCGAAGATATAGAGATTATGTCTTTTTCTAAAGTATAATTTATGTAAAATATAAACGTAAACAATTTATTCACAACGGTTACGAGTCACACACCTTTCGTGTATCGAAGGATAACCTCGTATCGCTCCTTACTGAGGGTTGAAAGGATTCGGGGTTGGTTTCATGTGAGATAAGGTAAACGTGTTTACATTACACTCAATCCCGTTTATTACGGAAAGCAGCATCTGTTAAAATAATTTCTAACCGGCGGGGTAACTATCTTTATCAAAGCGGCGACATCTGCGTGAGTGTCAAGGATTTGCAATAAAGTCGATAACGAATTATAGAACCGTTATTACACATTAAATGATGTAATCTAAGAATATCATTTATTTTTTAGAGCAGACAAAAAGAAATAACGTGTACAAAATTGCGTTTAACAGATTATAATAATAAATAGATTTCTAATAATCTTTGGAATTTGTGATTTTTTTAACGATAAAAGATTACTGTAGATAATAATAGATAGCTACTAATTACCTACGATATTTTTCGGAAATTAAAGTAATACTTACTTCAGCGTCTTTCGAGTTGAGTAATTCTTGAAGTTCGACACACCTTTTGTTCGCTTCATTTAATGCTGTAGATCGTTCGTCTGTGTACAAAAGAAAATTGAATTTAAATTATTTACAAATTATTTCAATAAAAACTTTGAGCGTGTATTTTGAGGTTTCGAATTTCCCGCCACTTTAGCGCGCCTCAATCGGTACAACAGACCCTTATATTGACAGTCGTCAGTAACCTCTCATGTTACTCGAAAACAAGCAGTAATTCGCGACAATTAATTCACGAGCCAGAGAAGATCATGCATACCTATTGTTTCTACAATGCCCTCCGACAAAACTTCCTTCGTAAAGGTTGTTATCTGGCCCTTTAAATTCGACAAGCTAGGCAGCTTGTCACCGAACCACGCCATTTTACACGTCGACACTTATCGTTGAATGTATTTTGGAGACCGTACTTGAACACACTTTTTAAACGTTACGAGCACTGCATATTTCGATAAATCTATACACGTCAGCGGCATAAAAGTATCAAAACATGAAGTAACAGGAACCACCACGTAGTAATCTTCACAAAATACACAAGTTTAGTAAAGCATGGTTGACAACACTACATAAAAAATTACTAGACTTCGTGGGATTTTTACCGAAGAATAGTTGGCGCGGAATATTAGTATTTCTTAATAATTTTTATCTTAAGAAATTGTTCCCAATTTGCTCCCTCGGAATCTAAAATTGCTCCCATGGCAACTATTATATTTAATGAAATATTTGCAAATGAAAAAGCAAAAATTTCTTGTCTGCAAAATAGATAGTAAATGGACTTTTTACACACATATTATGGTACCAAAAAATTGCTCCTGATCTCTTTTATAATATTCAATAGTCAGATATTTTAATAACAACTTATTAACAAGGAGTAATTGAAATAATGTTGTTGCATACAGGATAGGTATGACGTCATCAGTAGGCGCTCGTTTATTGCAAGTTATTTCATTGTAAGCTATTTTTTTGTAGCATAGGAACACCCTTCGCTCAAACGTATATTCTATTATTTGTTGCAATCACTAACCCGTGCTTTTCTACACTTTTATACATAAATAAGATGACTAAGCAAATTTAGTTATTACTCATTTTGTATGGTACAATTTTATTCACGCTATTGAATACATTGTTTTCAATAAAGAAGAATAAATGAAACTACTGTTTAATCATACATACATTATGAAAAATGGTCCAGTAACTTTGTGTGCTCAATATCTTCGAAAATCACCGAAGGAACCATGATCGCAAATTCTTCTGTTCGTTCGCTGAAAAGTAAACGTATTAGAAAGAGGTTTTGTGTTCAATTCCTGCAAGACCTATTATTTTTTTTTCGAGTACAAGAAAGTAATAACGATTAATATTGCTATTATAAACACGCTAATATTATTATTTAAATTTAATTGAAATACATTATTTTTCCATTGTTAATACAATAATTTAACAGTGACAACAAAGTTATCAGTGGAGGAGACCCGGCACGGATTAGGAAGAGAGGGCCCCAATACGGAGGCATGCCGCGAAACGGCCGCGCAAGCACAGACACTGGTCTATGCGAGAAAAAGAAGCTAAAATAATAAATACTCGGTATACATTACAATTATTTTACAATGGGTTTGCAGTCATTCGCTCGAAATGTAGTTGATTATAACTGAAAATATCTAAAAATATTGAAAGATTTTATTAAAACAATATTATATACACTTCGCTTTCTGTAGTGAAATATACGGGTGGAACGCGACACCGTATGTATTCCGTCCTGGGCGTGCTGGACGACAGAGTGGGGTGCATGCACGTGTGTGAGAAATACGTGTGAGCGAAGGGCGTTCCCATGTTACAATAAAAGGGCCTGTAATAAACGATCGCCTACTGTAAAATTATTTTAGGTCAATGGTACGTTATTAACCGAGATCTTTGTAACTACGGAATGTACTGCGTGAGGGCAGCACCGTTCAAATATAATTTTAGCTCCGCAATGAAGTGCAGTTTAGAATAGTTTAGACGTGGAGGCAGCAGGTCAGTAAAAGATTGTTTATTATTAACGAAAACCATTATTATTCTTTCCTACGTAACACGGGTATCACATTTAATGTTTGTGTTGTTGAAAGTAGTTAGTATGTAGATTCTTGCTTGCCGCAGAGTTTTAGATCTTAGAATTATGTTGTGTTGTCCTCAGAAAGAGGGTTATGAATTAAAAACATTCCCAATCATTCATAGTAACCATTTATTTATTAAAAAACTGTATCTGCGCTATGAAAAGAGGCAAGCAAGTATTGTAATAAACGTAATTTCCACAAAGTCTCAACCCGGCGCGAGAATTTGTAACAGTTGAAGCCTCGTAGATGAAGATTCGTAAAAGCCGGTGCCGTTTGAAAGCGCCACGGTGCTTCGCGGAAACACGCACCCGCAACACCTGTTTTAAATGGAACGCTTGTCGCGTCAATTTACTTCTTTTCTCGAAGCAAATAAATTGCTCGGTTTTCCTATCTTCCCCACCGTGACTTCTAATTCGTGAATAAAAAACCTTTTGAAACCTGAGCGTGGTTGGTGTGTCATTCAGAAAAGTGGCTTAATGCGTTCAACGAATAACGATTCAAAAAGGGTCCACAGCCATTCTGGTCCTTTTAATCCTGTCGCGCGTTCCTTTTATTTTTAGGAACTCAAGTTGATTGCACGGACATTATGGGACATCACCTTTTTGTCGGACTTTTTTTCTCTCTGATGTGTACCAAAGTGTATTAGGAAGAATGGTGAGCACGAGGCCGAGATCCTCAGCGGAGGAAGGTGAGTAGCGGTTGAGAGAGGGACAGACGCTTTGCTATGCTGCGCTTACATGCCAGCTCCGTAGCTTTTGTTTGTGGCGCCTCGCACCAAAAGGGTGCAACGTAAATTAATAACTTTTTTAATTATTTGTTATTATTAATATCGTCTTACAGACGTGTGTGGCAATTTTTATGAAAGACTTTCATTGCCATTCTCTTGTCAAACATGATTTCTCATTATCATTATTTCATCATACGATGCAGTATTTTAAAAAAATATTTGTTTATATACACTGTACTCTCTTCTTTAGTATCGTTTGTATTAATATTATATTAGATACTTTTATGCATCACGGTTGTTACTTGTACTAATTATTTTATATATTATAAAATGGTGAATGCCCATAATTATGATATGATTTTAAAAAACCGTAATTATTTAACTTAATTCTTCTTAATTACTCAAGACGAATATGAAATTTTACATTACAGTATTCTCTGTGTCATTTTCAGTATATTCTTATACTTTTAAACGGTATAAGGAAAAGACTTTCTCGATTATAATTTGAAAAATGTACCGCACGACAAAGAGAATGCAAAGAAATTCTACACAATACTTCCATATCGACTTAGAACCCTTTCATCGTTCTTTTCAGCCTCTACATTACAAGCGTTCTCCGAAAACCGCCACGTTTCCCGTCAAGAATTCCTCGCCGAAATTTATGCGTTTCCGTGAATGGCAGTGAGGACGGCCCGTCACCGAGGGCAGTCCAGGGATAATCGCAACGCGACTCGGGAACCGAGCAACAATCGCGTTGCTGAAAATGTTTTTTCGGTGGTCGCGTGACGCGGCGCAATTTCGCCCGGGGCCACGGTCCCAAAGGTGGAGTGGGGTGGGAGAGAATGAAGAAGGCCCTCGGGGTCGAGGTACGTCACTGTCTCCCGCGCTATCACGATTAACAGAGTGAACAACACGAGACGTCCCGGTCGCGAGAGGGAGACGGAGAGCCCGCTGTGGCGAAGGAAAGGTGAAGGAAAGGAAAGGAAGGCGCGCAAGGTAAAGGCATATCTTGAATCCTTCGGTTGACTCGGCTCAGTCTGATCCGAGCCAAGCCACTGCCCTGATCCGGTGTGCGCGCCTCGCTCGCTCGCTCGCCTCGCCTCGCCTCGTCGCGGTTCGTTCGATCCTCTCTCCGTCTCCTCCTCTTCTGCTTTGCTCCTGACACGTTCCGTTCCTCCGGTCTAATCCAGCCGGTGTCATCGATCGCCGATCTTCCGACTTCCTTCCTCCGCGCTCGCTCTCTCCCTGCGCGCGGTCAGTTCAAGTCGGCGGCGGCGGCGGCAGCGGCGGCGAGTATCCCGTCCACCGTCGTACCTGTCCGCCGCGTTTTCGGCCCTGTGCTAAGAGGGGAGGGGGGGGAGGGGACAGACGAAAATCCACCACCTGACATGTCACAGTGCACGCATCAGCCTCGTGCCGTCGACTGCTGCCGGTTCACGCGCGTCCAGTGAGAGAGTCAAACGGGAAACGGGCCCTGCTCTCTTCGTTCGTTCTGTTTCGCACCGGTTTAGACAGACAGTACACATACACACATACACACACACGCACACATACACACCAGAGTCTCCTTTGGTTGTATTCTGTATCGCGTGTTCGTGGAAACCGGGGAATTTCTGTGGATCCCACCGACACCGGAAGTGTGATGACCCTTCCGACGAGACGTGCATCAACGACGAGCGCGACGACAGCGGATCTTCGATCTGGGATCTAAGTTTCGCGGTCAAGGTGCGTTACCACATTCATATTACTGCTACATACCAGGTATTTGTTAATGGCCTTTAATTTTTCTATGTGTATGTCTCTTGGTGTTCATTGACATTCTATTGTGTTTCATTGATACATTTGTGTATATGGTTTCTGGAATTGTTTCGTTTTCGAGATAAACGACGAACGATTTTATTCATGGAAGGACAGGGTTATTATCCTTGATTTCGTTGCGTTTACGGTGCCTCTTTGTTTCGCCGATGGGGAGGGAGGGAGAGAGTGATTGATAGACGCGCGGAACGAGAAAAATTTATCGTCGGTATTAATTCGATGCCTCTCCTTTAGTGCCCGATCGGGCCGAATGCTTAATGCGGGACGAGAGCGTACTCTCGGATGTATTGTATTCCGAAACGCATCGTCGACGTCGTGTTTTCTTCCCCGATGGTGCTTCTGAAAACGTCTCGGGATAAATGAAACATTTTTTTCCTCCCCCCTACCACCATCCCCCTTCCATCGTTTCTTTATGGTAGACAATGGGCTATTAGCTGTAAGCACCAATTACGGAGCTGTACGCCGCGCTTCTTTCCACGGATAAGTTGTGCACGCGAATAAAGCCAGGGGGGCCGAGGAGAGTCGCGTCTTCCCGTCGACGGCTCGCGGGGGATGCGATAGACGAAACCGGAAAAGGGAAAAATCAAAGAAGCCAAAGGGAGCTCCGTTCGTTTTCCTTTACGAAAGATTCGACCGCACAAAAGTCGGTTAATTAGAGGACGTCTTTGGAATGCTGTCTTCCCGAGTCGTGACTTCGAGGGGGCCCCCATTTTGAAAGTTTAACTTCGCGT